AAAAAGCACTCTCAAAATGAAATCAGCCTCCTCATTTAACATAAATGGAAAACAGAAACAATGTAGGCATATCATCTGTTGGTATGTTGACTAGATATTAGTAATATCCTTGACATTATTTAGTATGTTCTTATAGTATTAATTAAATGTGGCTGTGGGAGGTATCAGCATTGCAGCATATAGGTTCAGTGGTCCTTCACCTGGGAAACTCATGACCTAGTCTTTGGTTAGTAAAAATGAGATGGAGATTTGTTGCTAGCATGTGACACTGCCTTGCAGAGCTGCTATATTCCAGGCAGCCAATTCTTAACATACCCCACAATTTCTCCGCCTTCTTCACCACCTCCTGTGCAAATGCCATGTTCTCCATGTTGCCACTCACATAGTGTATGGATGCTGCACCCAGCTCTCGACACTGCGTGGAAACCTAACACAAATACACAGAGCATTTTAGAGAGGGATTCCCGTATGCAGCTTCATAGGGAAATAAGTTGCTGGTGTAGGTACTCTGGCTGCAAGGGGTTGCATCACAAGAATGCTTATCCCATGGTTCTGTCTTTGGTTCTGCTTTATGGAAGTACAGCAAGCACAGAAATGATTTTTTCTCTCTATGGGTAAAGGAACGTGACAAATGCATCATTTGCAAGATCAGAACTGAAGGTGAGCATGAGCTTCTTTTTTGAAGCACATTTAATTGGATTACCCAGTAAAAACCGGTAACAAGAAAAATTAAATAGTTTTTTTTTTTTTTGGTCAAAATCTCTTATCTGAAAAATAACATGTCTGAATAAACTCAAGAATTTCCAGGAATGATTTCCTTTGGGCAAAGGCAATGCATGAGAAACTGTATTTAGGAAAGAATGGTCTGGCTCAGTGTCTGTGTAATATTAGGGGTGGTGGGAATACAAGTTGGCAGACAGGCTCAGACTGGCATCCATTTCATCCAGTGTTCAGTTTGTTGTGGTGGCACAGCACCAAACACCTCTAAGGAAGATGCAGGGATCTGCAAGGACAGTCACAAAATTGGTAGGGTGGGCACCGGAAAAAACAGAATCAAAACGAAACAAAAACAGGTGTATGTTGGAAAATATGGTGTAGCCTGAACTAAGGGACGTTATTCTGTCTCCATACATTGTGCATGCACGTATGGGCCTGAGCACCTGTATATGTTTGATCTACTGTCCCGAATTTGTAATCCTATCTGTGGCCCACGTTTAATGTAATATGCCCATCCCAGCTGTGTCTGAGCACACTGCAAGTGCTCAGCTTCCACTCACTTTCTGTAGCTTAACTTCTGTCAGTGCCGTGATCAGAAGATGAGATCCCATGTGTGCCAGGTGGTAGGCCATTTGCTCTCCAATTCCACTGCTTGCTCCAGTGACAATCACTCGCTTTCCTTTTAGCATCTCTGGAGAGCCATGGACAGAGAATGATGCATACCACAGTTATATCCCACCCCTTCACCATCCAGGAACACCTGTGCCCAAGAACCATTGAAACTAACTCTTCCTGGCCCAAACTGACCAACCTATCCTGGCCACTTTGTTTCCAAGAGAAGACATGACCAAGGGAGCAGTGGACACTACACATATAACTACCACAGTATTGCAATGCACAGCTGCTCCCCTTTGGAGCCTACAAACTCTGAAGAGCTCTGAGTAGCGCAAAATCGCAGTGTCCCACACTGTGAGGGTTTGGATTCAAACTCGACAGCCAACCCTTAGGTCACTGTATGTGATCACGATTTCCCTCCATTGATTTCCAATGGAGCTGCATTCATTTATGCTGGCACCTATCACGATGATGAGTGCAGTGGAAAATCTAGGTAGCTGGGGCAACTTTGGGCTTGGAGATGTTTAGATCCAGAGCTGAATTGTGTAGTTCACCCCCATCTTGATTCAAATGCAGATAAGACGTTTTATATTTTGTGGTTAGGTTAGGTTTTGCTCAGTGTTTTGTCAAGTTCTATCTGTTTTTTTGTAATAGTTGTAGCATTAACTAAAGGACTGAAGAAAAGTTTAATATGAATATATATATAATATTATATAATATGAATATATAATACATAATATACAATGTATAATAAATAATAATATATGATTTTATATATATATATATATATATATGTGTATATATATATATAAATAGTATATAAAGCATTATTTCAAATTGGTGGCTTTGAAAATCCTTGCCAGTCCTAAATATCATCGTCTAATGCCTTCTTGGATGATAGCAACGTCTCTCCATACTTGCACTGAATTATGCTACGCCATTATTTTTTAAATTAGAGAAAACATTAGCTTGTCAACAGTGCTATTCCTAGAGTCACTTCATTTTGAAGGGCTGTGGGCAGGAATTCAAAATACTCATGCAAATGTGGTATTTTAGAAGAGACTCATAATAACACATAACAGCTTGCCATGGTTTGAAAGTACATGCTTACTTGAATAACTTACCTACTTTAAACTCCTGCTTTGCTGAGTAAAAGTAGATGGCCAGCACCAATCCCATCAGGGCGAAGAGACTCTTCAGTAGCAGACCCATGCCACTGAGACATGAACGTAAGAGAGAGAAATCCTTCTCGTGTGACTTATGCAATCCTGGCAGGGATAAATGTTCTTGAACACGGGCAGCAAGAAAAGGCAGATTTCAAAATGGTTTCCTTTTCTTAAGTGGCTTGATTACAATCATCTTTCAAATTCTTTGTTTGCTATTTGTCCAGTTTAGCACATATTAACCAAAGCAAGAGTGCCATTTGGACTTTATGCCACCCTTTGCGTGCTGTTCATGCTGTGGTTGGAGCTGTGCCCTCTGAGCATGTTGAAAGAGAGGTAGTTATATCCTTGGACTCTGCAAATGTGGGTGCAGTTCCCAGTTTTCTTACAAACTTTTCTGGGGAGGGCAGACAAGGTTCTTTGGGTGAATCTGATATCTTTTATTAGACCAACTCAAATAGTTGGAAAAATTCTTAGCAAGCTTTCAGGTATAAATACCCTTTGTCAGGCTGAGGAAGCATTTAGGGAGGGCATTTGCTCTTCCTATGTTTTCGTTTTCTCAGCTGCACAATGCAGATAAGACTTCCCTAGTGCCTGGGGGAACTGAGGGATAAATCCATTGAGAAATCTCAGCTGCTGGGTTACTATACAACTCCAACTGAGCTTTGGTGTTTGCAACACAAGCACCACAGTCCCTGGTACTGCTGGTTATTTGTGTAATACTGGGCAATGGACATGTCTGTACATGCATTAGCGCATTAAGTTTAATACCTGTGAAATATATAATGTTTGAAAGCAGGCCCAAAAGCCCACAAAGAAAAACACTACTAAAAGGCCACAAACAAAATAATTATAAGCTCTTTCTATGCAGTATGACATTGGAATGTGAGCTGATAAACGGGGATGGTACAAACTGAACCTACCTTGAACCCACTAGCATAAGTAACAGTGCTGAAAAGAAAGTTGCATGTTTGATGATAAGGAAGATGCTTCTGTGTAAGAACTGCTCAAAGCCTATTATTGTGTAGTTATAAAAATTAACAAGACCATAGATAATAGTATAGAAATTATCTACAAAGCAGACTTAGTGCTTCAAAGACACAGCTGAAACAATCAAAAATACCATCCTCCTCCCTATTACTTAACATTTCAAAACAAGCATATAGCCAAAAGCCAGTTTAAACTAATTAAGAATTTTCTCACACTAACCTAATATCTTGGAAAATTCCCACCTGCGCGCGTATCGTGTCATGTGCACTAAAAGTTTTTAACTAGCCATAGAGGTTGAGTCAATTAAGTGTAAAATCTGTAACGCAAAACTGTCTATATAAACTTGCTTACTTGTTATCCAGGGGGGCTGGTTTTTGAAAGAGACGGGCTACTCTTTGTTGTTGTATGCATGCTTCAATAAAGAGCTTTGAAATAAGATCTTGCTGGTGTTGCCTGTCTCTTGCGGTCAAACAACAAACCTGAAAAGTTGGGGTTCGAGTCCCTAACACCTGTAATAACAGTTACTAACTTAATGAGCCATAATTAGCAGTAGTGCCAGTATACATATTTTACGTGATGCTAATGCCCAGTAAACTAATTCTAGTGTACATTAGCACAGTTTTTGCTGTGACACGCTAATGTGCAGTAGAATTAGTCTACTGTGCTTTTAGCCTCTTGTGTAGATGCACTCGCCGAGTCTGCTGCCTAGGCAACGACCCATGCTTTCAGGAGGGTGGATTGCTGGGGCGGGAT